TTCTGTTTCTTTTGCCCCATATATACAAGTGATGAAAGAACCTGACATATCATATAACAATTTCATTTTACCACAAAGACTCGTATCTATATATTCGAATAAAATCCAACAACTCTCTTGTGAGTATACTTGAAAGCAGCAACACCAGAGCTAGAACAGAAGAATTATGACTACAATTAGCAGTGCAACAGAGCACGCCATAGCCTGCAAAACCAAGCCAGTTCTATGTAAACTTCCATCTTAGGGAAATTACAACTCGGTTTTTCCAACCTTCGCAAGATATAGCTAAGGTTATGGGCAGTTGCAGTTTTTCTTCTTCATTTTTATTCTTTTATATTTATTTTTGAGAGATGGAGATGGCCAGATGGGCCAACGCAAATAACCGACCTTCATCTAAAAACGAACTGTTTTCTACACATCTAATTCCACAAAGAATGGGGACCTAAAAGCCTCAAGAATTTGAACAGAGACTCAAGTGATGTAATTCACAAAGGTCGAATGCACAAGCTGTTAATTCATGCTTTAGACAACTTGGACAATGAACACTTACAGCAATTGCAGAAGCAGCAAGCCCAGCGCGTTCCCTGGGATCCTTACGGTAGTAGTTACCAAAATATAGGATAGTAGCATAGTACCACATCAGAGGGCACAAAAAACCCAACAGAAAACTGAAACAGGATACAACCATTATGTCAGAAGCAACCTGGAAAAGGAAGCGTACAAAAGAATACTTACGAGAACCATCCTATTCCACAGCCAAAGCAAGGAAGAGGTCTGTCGTATGTTCCCAGTAGGGATTCCTGTTCGTCTCTAACAGGAGTATACTTTCCCTTTTCATGGTCTGCAACATTCACTCTTTGTCCTATTATTATCACAAGATTACATCTCAAAAGTTGTGCATCAAATAGGAGTCAATCATGATATCATGTGTAAATACTAAATACACATGTGAAAGAAGATTTTTGCATAAATCTAGACATCCAACCGGAGCATTGGGAGAACATTTCTCAAAATGTAGCAAGCAGTAACTTAAGGTGAAGAGTCAAAATGGACAGAAGCAGTCAAGCAGAGGAACCAACTTGAGAATGAACAGAAGAAAGAGAGTTTAATTAAACAAGTAAAAGAGATGAGCTCATATCCTTAATGTAAAAAATTCAAAGGCTTTGGTAATTGGCAATTGAAGGAAAAATGGTATACAATTCAAAGCTATCGAGTGACTGTGACTCTTGTCTATATTTAATATACCGTGGGTTAGAATTTGAAAATATGGAGATCAATGCATCATACAATTTCACTGCTTATGCGTCACATGGACTTTGGTCCTTGGTTATGGCGATTTGCAAGTCAACTTTGACTACATGAAGGTGCATTGACACTCCATCGAGGAAAATGCTCGGGAAACTACTTTAAATAATGTATTGTATCACAAATGAAAATAACTACCTTTAAACATTGAAAAATATCGAGCTGATGGTCTCAAAAGATCAAGACGCTTAGCTGAAACTGATTTAACCAGTTCGAAGACCTTTCTATCCTTTCCCTCCTCAACAGTAGAATCTGTAACACCAAGAAGTTCCACTGTGTAGAATTAGGAGGCACTGTTCTTAATTTTGTTTTTTTCTTCACACTAACTCTGTATACATAACTTGTCTCACAATGACAACTACAGGCACTATTTCAGCAGGTGTTTCCCAACTAGCCCAATACAAGAAAACTGAATCTTTTCTTTTTTTCTAATTTCAAAATAACACGATCTCTCTCTTTCCATGCTATGTTGTATCTATGATCAATGGTGAATATATAGACGTAACAAAGCTAACCAGATGGTAAATTACTTGAGGATATTGAGATTTAAAATAACAGAGTTCTGAAAGAGAAAGAAAGGAAAATTTATGTTTATTGCAACCCTTTACATGCCTTTCTCTACATTATTAGTTTGACTAGCACAGAGGCAAGCAAAGTTCTCTACCAAAAATGCAGGACATAGTGATTGCTGTCGATATTAACAAGCAACTCTTGAAAATCAACTTCACCACCAATAGGTACAAAATTCGGAGGATTACAAGTATATTTTAAAATTAATTGAGCTAAAAACAGTTCAATTTTATAATATTAATTTAGTATGCTACTTATTAAGCTACAGCAACAATGAAACCCAAGCTGATAATCTGATCCGTAAACAAGTTCCATATCAAGTGCAAAATCATATGTTACAATTAACCAAAGGCAAAAGCAAAACTCAGGCTAATTACTCTGATCCATGATCACTCTGACGGAGATAATAAGTCTCTGTGTACAGAGATGCTCCCTTCCACTGTCACTACAAGCCTGCCTGCCTTGGAAATTAAAACAGAACTCCGAATTTAGAATATTGCCACTATACCAAATTTATTTGCAACCAATTTTCAAAATGGATACTCTAAAATTCAAGAATCTAAAACTCAGAACATGGGAATCAGAACAAAACTATGACTCTTAGAATTCATCTTATGTCGTTGTAGGAATAATTTTGTTTCTTCTTCTTCATGTACGGACGAGGGATTTCGAGTACTACATAGACATAAATTTTTGATGATGTTACTGGTACTGTTATACAAAAATCTTAAAACTGTTTTCTAAATAATTTCGTCCAGCGAAATAGATTATTACCCTAAACTAACGCCAAGGTAATACCCACAAAATAAATCCTTATATCCGGGAATTCATCATTCTTAAAGAAAACCACTTCCATTAAAAATCTACAAATTGAAACGAAGGCATAAATCCCA